AGGCGGAGAAGCAAGCAGCACAGGAACAGGGTTAGAGGTCAGAGGTCAGCGCAAGCAGAAGGTGAAGGGACAGGGTGCAGTTAATTCACACTTTTACATGAGTAGCTGCGTTTCCATGACACAGAAAAACAACAACAACCAGGACGACTGTTAGCATTCAGAGACAGTCACATCAACAGGCTGGTCGCTGGGATTCAGCTGAGCGGCTCAGGCTGAAAATCGTTGCCTACCCAGAACGTTGATGAACAGTTCGTACAGTTCGTATGTGAGCAGCGGCTGAGGGAGGCTGTAGAAATAATCGGACACCGTTTTGAAGACGTCTCTTTCGAAGCCGGGGTAGGACGGCTGGTCGCTGTCGTACTTCGGCCCTGCGGACCAACAGAACTTGGTCACCGGCTGGTTTAGGTTGGTTCCTCCTTTCCCATTGAAAACTCCTGCATCATTACGGCCACATTCTCCTCCCACTTTAAATAAAACAATTTGTTGAAGTAATTTTCACATTTTCTTGATGAAACGTTTGTCATGCACTTCCGAAAACAACCTTGGATGACAGTAACACCCACCCCCCAAAAAAAAATCACGCTTTTCACCTCTGTACCCACAATCCATTGCTGTACTTCTACAGCAAATAGTTGCATAAACCCACATTGCCTGAAATCATGATGATGTCGTGTTTTCTGAGTAATCTGTTGTACTCACAGTTCGCCAGGCACTTCATGGCGGACAAAACCCAATGAGGAAGATCATCTGCAAAGACCGACAGGTGAGACTGAGCCAGGAACTCATTACTGCTCTGCTTCCTGAACCAGGTAAAACTGAAACTGTCACTCCAGTAGAACATTTTAACAGTTAAAACAGTATTATACATAAACAATTATATTTATGATACAGTTTGGGTTTAATTACGGCTCTGAGTTTATTGTTCTTTCAGCAAATGGTCTTTTTTAAATCTATAAACTTCAGTATTACTAAATTTGTTGATGATTATTTTAATAATTGTTTCTGTTTCTTTCAATCTACCAGGGGTGTGAATAATTAACCGGTGCGGTCCATCACTCACTGCTCTTGTCCTCCAGCGTGACGACTCCGTGTTTGTTGACCTTGGTCATGTTGTGGATGATGTTCTGAGGGTTTACGTGCCGCCGGTCCAAAACCTCATCCAGAGAAGAGACGCCCAGAATCCTTTGCAGGCTGGAGAAACACAACAAACGTTTGCATCTCATAATAATGTGGATTTCTGATGCAACATTACGTCTGTGAGTCTGGTTGTTCAGTGTTTGTGTTTTTACTGTGTCAGGGTGACGTCTCTCCAGATTTCCTGCTCATCCTGCAGCGTCAGCTCTCGTCTCTGGTGCTGCTGCTCTTCTGCCGGCGGATTTGATTCGTCTTGCGGCGTTTGGAGTGCAGGATCTACGTTCTCCTAAAAACAAGTTGGAATCAAGTATTTATATCTCTGTAGTTATGCTGCTTGGGCTGTCGGACTGTTTTCTACTGACTAGAGGACAAAAATCTTCATTCTGGTGCTTTTCTTATTTTGAAGTACAATTTTGTTTGTAGACTTCAGAATTCATTTTATTTGTTGTTTATTCGTTTTAGATATTTAAGATGTCTTCCAGTTCCAGTGTTAAATGTTCAAGAGAATTTAAAGTTTATTGATCTTTGAGGATGTGTTCTTGCATTATTACGTCACAAGGTTATCGCTGATACTGACCAAATGATCTGACTTCAGATGGTGAGAATAAAAACGTGTATGTGTTTTTATAAACATCTGGTTTGTCCTAACCATGGAGTCTTTCTCCTGTTTCTTGAGGTTCCTCAGTTTGAAGAAACCTTCCCGGTCCCGGAGCGACGGACGCTTTTTTATGGACCTGGAGCCTGGCGCCGGACACGGGATCGGTTTCAGAGGAGAAGTAGATGGGAATCTGAAAAAAAAAATTAAAATAGAAAAACACACACGAACAACTTACCTTTGATTAAATCCTAGTTTAGGTCACATATGTTTTTAAAATATGACATTAAAGTCACCTGAAGAGCATGTGGTTGTCCTCCAGATCCTCCGTTCCCCAGCGGCCCTTCACGTCTTCAATCACATGGTTCTTCAGGAACTTCTTGAGCAGCTGAACGGTTTGCTGTCTGGTGACTTCGGGGCCGAAGTTGCTGTTGCTCTGGAGCAGCTGGTGCAGCCAGTCCACGGCGGCGGCGGCCGTGAAGCAGGAGGCGTGGTGCCTGAAGTTCTGCCAGTGCTTCTGGACAGGCATGCCGGCCCGAAACAAACGTGTCACTTCATTCCACTGAAAGAAAAACACAGACAGATTAGTATTGATCCACCGATTGCAGTTGTCTGGCCGATCACCAATGGCCAATCTTTAAAAAGACAGAAACCAGAACAGCAACAATTATTCTTACTGATGCAAAAATAGTCAAACACAATAAGTATTACAGTTACTTTGAACTACAGGCACAAAAATGTTGCATAAGCACTGTGCACCTGACAAGGGTGAAAAAAAATGGTAACTGTTTCTGTCGGTTATTTCTTGATTTTTTCCATTTCTTTAACAGAACTATGAGTACCGTCCTGTGAATTGTAAAGCAAGATGTTTTTTTCCTGCTTACTTGTCTTAGGACACAGAATAAAATTTAGCTGTTGAGTAATTGCTGCATATTTACATCGCCATGAATTGTGGTAATGTTGAATAACATGCACTGTCCATATCAAATAAATTTAAATTCAATATAGTTGCACAGTATTATTTTTCCTATGCACACTTCCTATTCATATTTTCCTATTCATGCTTCAATTTGCCTGTTACTTTGCTGCCAACATACCTGAATGCTCCCACTTTGAAACAAAAAGGTTTTTTTCTTTACTTTAAATGCATTTAAACACTGTATTATAAGACATTCTTGCATGTTTCAATCAAGAAAGTTTGAAATTTAAGTCAATTAAAATGAACAAAGTTAACCAAGCATGATAAGCATTTAGTAAGATAACTGCCAAAGTATTGGGTTTTCCTCCTGAATAGCTGCTGAGAAGTTCTGGTTTTAAAGTCAAGGAATGTTTTTGAGAAAAAGTCAAATAAACAAGCGTCGTTTTAGTTTAAATTTCTGTTTAGATGAGGTGTACGCAACTGTTACTACTTGTTTGAAACGAAAACTTTTCCGTTAATAGCATAATTAGCTAGGTCTCATTCTGCTCTATAAACAACAAAAACTCACCAATTTTGTAGCTCGATAGGGTCCAGGAGTGATAATACGAGTGTCCATGTTTAATAATAAAAACACGAAGTTGTTTCCACCTTATCCAGAGTAGAGAAACAGCGTGAAGTCCATTCTTTTGAGAAATATCTGTCGATGTTTTGCTACTAGCTAACTAGCAGCAGGGCTCATCGCTGGCTGCTCCCGGTCCGTTCAAAATTACGAGCCGTCCGCTTCTGGCAGCTGATTGGACAGCGCTCAAATCACGTGACACGCATTCGGTTCCGGAAGCTGGAAATCCACAAAAACTTCATCCAATCAGCATAAGCTTCACAAGCAGGTAATTAATAGACAATTATGCCTGCTTTTTATTGTAACAATGGACAATTATTGACAATAATTAAATGAAATGAGTTGGATTTTATTTTGTAGTACTTTAGTTACCTCCATATTTATCTTGTGTATAAAAACCTTGTTTAAAGACTGTTTTAAATATGTTGCACTTTAAAATTATTACATTTGGTGGTGGGTTATATAATGCGAATTATATATTATATATATTTATTATCTAGAAAACAGAAGTCAAATCAGCTCCAATTACGAACCAAAAACAAATTAACTACTAAATCATCCCTTCTGACTGTTATGTTATTTTTCTTGACATATATTTGTTTTGCTAGTGTTAGTATTTCATATGTGGACCACATGTTCTAAGCTTTATGTAATTTTATAAATTACCAATTCACATAAAAAAAATACTGACAACCAGGGTTTCTTGTCTTTGGTCTTCATTGTGTTGTTTGCTGGATTTCTCCAGCAAATCTCCAGTAAATGCTTTGAAGGCATTTAGGTGCTCTAATTGGTTTTATTTATGGTTTTTATAATATTAGAGGGTTTATTACATTTTTAATTTTTTTATTTTAGTGGTGTCACAAAATATTGACAAGTTTAAGTCAATATTTTTTTGCAAAAGTTCCTCTCCTTCATAATAATACATTCTTTTAGTGTGTGCACTCTCAACTTAGGGAGATTGGCAGTAGCAAAAGGTAAAGCAGAAGGCAAAATTTTATTGTAAATACAATAATTATCTGCTGTCAAACATGTTTTAAACAAGATCTCAAACACAAAAACACAACCAGCTTCTCTTGCCGTGACCCGGATTCGAACCGGGGTTGCTGCGGCCACAACGCAGAGTACTAACCACTATACGATCACGGCGAGCTATTCAGCTTGGTGAGTGACCGGTGGTCCGACGAGAAATGCTTGCCTCTGACCTACGAAATGATTTTATCGCGATTTGGGTGGTAATGAAGCTGAAGTCAGACTTATTTCGTTCGATTTTAAACGATTAAATTGGCTTGTGCAATGACAGGTTTCGAATTAGGACAAAGATTGTGAAAATATAATGTGTCACGTATTTTAAAATTTGGGGTCAGCAAGTAAAATAGATATTTTTAAAAATAAAATTACTGTTCTCATCAGAATAAGGTATGCATTTAAACACATTTACTAATTTTTACAATTGTGTTTGTCTTGGATAATATGTATTCAAAACAAACAGTAAATAACTCGTTTGCGTTGAGTTGAAAAAAAAAAATAATACAAGTGGCCCTCTTCTTTTACTGTCAATTTCTGAATGTAGGCGTGGACTGTGGTTGTTTAAACATGTATTCGGGCACTGATTGGTTCTCAACAGTGCGTCCTTGTATACTCTCTCCCCATTGGGCAAGACGCAAAAGCAGCTGGCTTGCCATTGGCTGACGTTCCTTTTGACAGAATTTGAAATAATACTGCGCTTTAACGTTTGTTAGCTGGCGTGTCTCAGACCCGAACACGTACAAACTGAGTTTGCTTTGCATGAAACGTTGATTAGAATTTTGTAACATGTAGTTTGTCTCGAATCGCGTTTTTATTGTCTTAAAACAATGGCTGAAGCGGTAACTTCAGCACAACGGGGACTTCTGGAAATCAGTCCGGGGAGGAAAATGGATGCTAATAAGGAGAACGACGTTCCAGTGTTGAGTCTGATTCAGTTTTCAAAGCCACCTTTTGTGTCTTTCGGCTCTGTAAAGTTGGGCACCTCGAAGTCCGCTGTTTTGCAAATTGAGAACCCGATTGAGGATGTGGAAGCGGAGGTTACAATCGAAAAGATCCCGTCAAATAAAGGTTTTTCTGTGGAGCAGAACACGTTTACGATCCAGGTAACTGTTTCACTTCTCCAGCATCCAAGCCACTAGCTTGGAGCGTATGCTTTTGAACCTACATTTTCATCAGAAACACCATTATTTCTCTTGTGGATTTGCAATGCATTGTTCCTGATTTGTCTCCGCGTTTTGTGTTTGCAGCCTCTAAGCTCATTCAGTTTGAGAATAAGCTGGACCCCAACAGAAGAAGGTGGCATCCGGGAGGTGATCTCGTTCAATGCCAATGGAGTCCTTAAGCATCAAGCTGTTCTGCTGGGGAGAGCAGAAACAACAAAAAAGAAAAAGGTAGCTGCACGCTGAAACTGCCCTGCAGATGTTGCATGCATCTCTGCTCCTGAACACCTGATTCAAATGACAGCATTGGCCTCTTATTCACCCATTTATTTAAGCCAGAGACTGAAAAACACTGGAATAAACCTGTAATTTCACAACTGCAGAAATAAACACCAAGGTGCTTAAAGGTTACGTTTCATCTAATGCAAAACTTGGCGCTTAGGGAAAGATTCATAGCATTGAACTCCCATTGCATACGTCACAGACAGACATTAGCGGTTGGGTGAAATTTAAACAGATTCCACGCCTCTAAGTCATGAGCAATTGTTTTGTGTAAGTTTATTCAAGTGAGGAGGTATTTCACTTTTTAAAATATTGTTTCAAACATAATATTTTTGTGATGTGTAAAGAGTTATGTCACAACAAACAGTTTAATCTGAAAGGAAAATACAAAGTCTTTGAAAAACATAAAGATTGTGTGTGAACAGGGCCGGATTCAGAAGTATGGATCAAGTCAAAACTGGGCTTGATCCAGTTTTGGTACCCGATCCACCAAAAATGTATTTTTACATTTGATAGGTAGAACATGTTGCTGGGCATGAATTAATGCACTCTTGGTTCAAAAAGTCTGGCAGATGGCTGATATTTTTTTTTTTTTTGTGTGTGTGTGTGGAAAAGCAGCTTTGTCCAAAATGTCATGATTATGACGTCACAATTTACAGACATAGCCCGTTACCTGGCAAACCTCATTATTCCAAGACAGGCATATTTATAGCTGAACCTGCAATGTATTCATTTTTCTTATTGTTGAATTAGCAAAAAGTAGGTAAGATAAGATACAGCAGAATAAACGTAGAATTGCCTGGAGCCTTTCTTCAGTGACAATGTAACTTACCTCTAACTGCTTTTGTTTTTACAGAAGAGCTTATGGGATTCAATCAAACACAAGAGAGGGATGGAAAAAACACAAACGCCATCAACGAGAACGGCGTGTCCACGGAAGATGGCAGGAAACAAAACCTTCCAGGTGTCGCGGCAGTCGCAGTACAGGCGGGAACAGGTGCGCAGTCCGCTTACTTCACTCAACAAGGGCAACTGCGTCATGAAGGAAAACATCCTTCAACATCGCTGCTTGGAACCAGCGGAGAAGAACACGTCGAATCCGGGTCAATGGTCCGTTGTCTTGTCGGAACAGGGGAATGTTTCTCCAGAGAGGAAGAAGTCGCCCGTCGTTCTGCTTGTCCCGACTACAAAGGTCTTCCACTCTGGCCCTGATGGCGTCACAGAAAATCCTAAAAACAACGAACTGACTAAATTGTTTGACAGGACACTGTCTCCAATTGGCACGCCAGAGATGTTCAAGAAACTGATGCCTCGTATTGAGTCCGGCAGCCCGCTTCCTGCTTCTGACGGCGACTCAACCGGATCCTCTCTTCCATCTTTGAAGGATGCTCTGGTTCTGATAGACTCTGACCTCGGGCATCTTGACACCAGTCCAAGAAATACAAGTTCCAGCTGCGAGTTTTCCGATTCTCTGGAGTTTAAGAGCGAAAACACGCAGCCTCACGAGCCGAGACTCACGTTTTTCGTCAGCAAAAAGATTGCTTCTAAGGTGGAGAAGGTTGTAGAAAAGGAAAAGGTGAAGTTTTCTTTCACATCTGCCACTGTGACCAAAGGCAAAGCGTCTGTGGAGGCCAGCAGTCCTGGAGCGAGGAAAATCAGGAAGTCACGCCGACGGCTACTGGAGAAAACGCTTGAACTCTCTGACGGTGGCAGCCAGAGCGACTCCGGTCAGGGAACTCCGAGCCTTCCCATCATAGATGCTGAGACGGGAGCTGAACAGTGTGATGCTGGACATGAATTCCTGGATTTAACCTCCTCCAGCCCCAATCAAAGGTCTTCCCCTCCAGACACGGCGCTGTCTCGGTTCTCTGCCACCTCTTCGCCGCTTCACACTCCTCCTGCTGCCAGCTCGTCGTCCTCGTCTGACTTGTCCCCAGCTGGTTCCGCTCAGGAAGACTTGTTCCCCGTCCAGTTAGCAGCGAAAAGCAAGAAGAGGAAGAGTGAAGAATTCTCGAGAGCCGATTCCACCAAAAGCGAAGACTCAGGAAAGCTGGAACGAGTGAAGAGGAGTCGGGTTGTGGTCAGGAAAATTGAGCCGCCAGCGTTTGTCCAGAGCAGGAACGCAACTCAGCGGGAGAAAGTCACAAGTGAGTATTATCGACTTTTTTGAGCTCTATATTTGTATGACTCGTTCATGCATGTTTGAGAAATATTAATCTCCATGGCAAGTTGTGCAAAACACTTGGGTGGACCTGGCTCCACCTTTGAGGTACAGCTCCTCCACACTAAGCTCCTTCAGACTAGCCAGCAGCAAATAGCAAAAACACCTGGTGGAACTGAATCAGCTGAGCTCGTTACAGGAGCTGCTGCTCAAAGCAACAGTGGTAAAAACATTGTTAAAGGGTAAATAGAGGAGCCATGTTGGAAAGACTTTAAATCAGGAAGTAAAATTCCTTTCAAGCCATTTGATTTATGTAGACTTTTCATAACTAAAGGTAACATAATGGATTGTGCAATGAAGTGGCTCAATGTGCCTGGAAAACGCACAACACTCTTTCATCTTATTTTTTTCAAGTTTTCCAAAAAACAAATTCAAAACAATTTTAAAAAGTTGCTTTTATTTCAGTCATCCCTTCTGCATGTTGCATAACAGAATCACAAGAATTTAGTCATAATATTAGCAGAATACAGGCACAATTTTAATAGAACAACATCAAAGTCATTTTAAAAAGCAATAAGCTTGGATTTATTTATTCTGAAAATTAGTACCTCAATTTCCAAATATTATGACTTCATTCTGACTTACCCAACAGTAACAGTTTTAATAAATATGGGTAATTAATACGTCTTTGTTTCCTGCCCAGATCTGACCCAGTCTGTGAGGACGGCAAAGTCTGCAGCTGCTTCCAAGGCTAAACGTTTGAGCGCCAAAGTCTCCACCAAAAGTATAAATCTGCACATCTTAATGTCATCTGGGGTTTTGGATCCGTTTCCTTTCTGCAGTTTACAGATGTATTTCCCTTGTTCTTTTTCTTTAGGTGCGTCTCAGTCTATGAAGATCTCAAAGGTGGTTGCTGTAGCTCAGTCGAAGCTAACGTTCATCAAGCCAAAACAGACAGGTATGTACGGAAGACGATTAGGGCCACAGTTATGAAAAAAAACAATAAATTATTTTTTATCACAGAATTTTGTTGAAGAATGTTGACCTCCTTTCACACTTTTTCACAAAATTTAGATTTTTTTTTCATAAAATTTAGATTTTTTTCCCCAAGAATTTTGACTTTTTCTTTTCTTTTATAATTTTTTTCATAGAATTTTGATGATTTTATTTCACAAAATTTTGACTTTTTCCACATAGAATTAAATTGTTTTTTCTCTGAACTTTAAATGCTGGTTTTCTCTCTGAATTTTGACTTTAATATTTTCATTTAACTTTTTTCTGGGAATCGTTCTTGAAATTCTGACTTTATTTTCATAAATCAGCTTTAGAGTCAGATGCAGGTCATGCAGGAGAATTTACTTTTTTAAAAATTGACTTGATGTCATTGTTTTGTTTTCTTTTTCTCTTTCATGGCGGATTAGTCAAAATATTTAAGAAAAATGTCAAATTTTCTTTTTAGTGGCTCTAATCTGCATTAGACATATAATTTCATTTTTTTTTCCTCCTCATCTTGGAGATTTATTTAGTTTTCTGTGCCGTTTTTAGCTTTGCCGAGACACCCGATGCCGTTCGCAGCCAAGAACATGTTCTACGACGAGCGCTGGGTCGAGAAGCAGGAGAGAGGATTCACCTGGTGGCTCAACCACGTCCTGACCCCCGACGACTTCAAGGTCAACACCGAAGTGGCTAAAGGTAGCACGGCGCTGCAACACTTAGCCATAGAGGAGCTAAGTTTTAGGTCGCAGATGAATAATAAAATGTTTTTCCTGTCAGTGAGCGCCGTCTCGCTCGCGCTGGGCGGCGAGGATGACCTCAGCGTTCCCAAAGCGCCCACCAAGGAGGAGATGTCCTTCAGCACCTACACGGCCAGGCGGAAGCTGAACCGCCTGCGCCGCGCCGCCTGCCAGCTCTTCACCTCGGAGGCCATGGTCAAGGCCATCCAGAGGCTGGAGCTGGAGGTGGAGGCCCGCCGCCTGCTGGTCCGCAAAGACCGCCACCTCTGGAAGGACGTGGGTACGACGCCATGACGGCCATTTTAAAATCAGTCTGAAGTGCGACTAGAAGACGATCACAATAATAATTGATTAGTTTTTAAATATCTGAGCCAAACTGGTGGCATGACATTTCCTAGCTTAGCTCGCTGTGAGAGGTTGAGCAGCTAAAGCCTTTCCTCTGCCTACATCTCCCAGAATGCCTTGTGGGTCTTGAAGTTCAGTTCATATTCTATATCTTATCTATTTATATTGATTACGTGTTTACCGCAGTAAACACTATTGTTGTCCAGCTCTAAGTCTGGGATGTTTTTTGTTGTTTTTAATCAGGTGAACGTAAGAAAGTGCTGAACTGGCTGCTGTCATACAATCCGCTCTGGTTACGGATCGGCCTGGAGGTAACTGACGATTTCTAAACCAGGAGCTATTAAATGCACCAAAGTGCTGCACAGTGTTCATAATTATTCTTTACAGTTTTATATCAGTGACTTTTTGTCAAATTTAGCCTTAATTAGTTTCTTAGTGGGTTTTAGTTTTATTAGTTACTATCAGCTCAGTATTGTTTAGTTTCAGTTGAGGTTTTATTATTTATAGTAGTAGTTTTAGTTTTTTCATACTTTTTAATTTTGCACCTAAACTAAAACAGGGCCGGCACAAACATTTTTGGGCCCCGAGCAGATTTTTAATGTGGGGCCCCAAATACCTCAGATATCTATGGAAGAGGATTGGGGCCAATGTTTAGAAAACAAATGGACTTCTGGGTTTTTTGTTTTTGTTTTTTTCACAAATTTTGACTTTATGTCCACAGAATTTGCACTAATTTTCTGTTTGTAGTAGCTTTTAGCTTGTATCATCCAATGTTATTTTACATTTATATTTCATCATGCTAACTGTTTTGAGGCTTTTTTTAAGCTAACGTTGTGCGTCCTCAGACTATTTTCGGGGAGCTGATCTCCCTGGAGAGCAACAGCGACATTTTGGGTCTGGCCATGTTCGTCCTGCAGCGCCTCCTCTGGAACCCGGACATCGCCGCGGCCTTCAGACACGCCCGCGTGCCTCACCTCTACAAAGAAGGTAAAATGGGAGCGGCGCTCTGATGTGCTTTAGGTCTTGGAGGCGATCCATTCACCCCAATCAAATCGATTAGCAGCATAGCGACGGTCTGTTGGAGAACGGATGCATTAAGATTTTATAAAGTTTGATTATTTTTTTTGTTTTTGTTTGAATATTGTATAAAAGAAAAAATAAAAGCCCAACAGGAAGTCAGATTTTTTATTTTTTTATTTTAAAGTTAATTATCAGAAAGTAAGGTCAAGAAAAAAGTTTTTGACTTGAATCGATTTATTATAACTTTAAATCTCATAATTATGACTTTCTGTTGAGCTTTTATTTGATGGCAGGGATGTTATTCCATATGTGTTCAGATGTTTTAACCTCATTTCCGCTGCAGGCCATGAGGAGGCGCTGTCCCGCTTCACGCTGAAGAAGCTTCTGCTGCTCGTCTGCTTCCTGGACAGAGCCAAACAATCACGTCTGATCGAACACGACCCGTGTCTGTTCTGCATCGACGCGGAGTTCAAGGTGAGCCAAGGTCGCGTCTGCTGCATGAAGCCTAAAGGTCACATGGGGAAAACATTGAGGAAACATTGAGGAAACTCTGATCAGGTTCCTCTCACCAGTTCCCAGGATTCTCTGGTTTAGATGTGTGTGTGTTTTGTGTCTGCCAGGCGAGTAAGGACCTGCTGCTGGCCTTTTCCAGAGACTTCCTGAGCGGAGAGGGCATCCTGCCGCGCCACCTGGCCTACCTGGGCCTCCCCGTCTGCCACGTCCAGACGCCGCTCGACGAGTTCGACTTCGCTGTGAAGAATCTGGCTGTGGATTTGAAATGTGGCGTTCGCTTAGTGTGAGTCTTAAATTTCAATGTTTTCATTTTGGTCACTTTTGAACAGCTGGTCTTTGGATTCCCTCATGTCGGCTGATGAAATGCTTGTTTCATAGATATTGATCAGTATTGATTAGTTTTAAGTATCTGAAGAATTGCCAAACTGCTGCCAGGATCTTCCCAGTTTTTTCTCCACAATGGTATTTTTCATTTCATGGCATCATGAGTCACGGTGGCCATCTTGTTTCACAAGTGTGTTTGACAGCTTCTGTTAATGTGGGCTTTGAATTTATGTACACTGACAAAGTTTAGCTACAATTATTTAATTTTATCTCAAATTGAAACGAGCTCAAAAATTTTAATTTTCATGATTTATCATTTTTCTTTCTGAAATTTGATCCCGTGTTAAAAGTAAAAATAAAAAAATGAAGCAAGAAATACTGTAATGTTATAAAATTCCATATTTTTTCTGTTTTGTCCAGACGCGTGATGGAGCTTCTCGTTCAGGACTGGAGTCTCTCGGCGAAGCTGCGTCTGCCGGCCATCAGCCGACTGCAGAAAGTTCACAACGTGGACGTGGCGCTGCAGCTGCTGCGAGGCAGAGGCATCGACCTGCAGGACGACAGCGGTAACGAGCCGCTGCAGCGCGCACAAACTTTATAACTAAAGAAACATTTTCTTTTCACTGTATATTACATTGTATGATAGTTAATTAAGTCTATCTTTTAGTTAATTTTTATTGTTCTTATCTCCAATGTTTGTTGCTGGAAAAGTTTTAAAACTTGCCTTGAAATGCCTGATCATTTTCAGTGGGGAGAAGTGAATGAACCCTGATGTTTTCTTAATATTTTTGTTGTCAGGCTCCGTCATCGACTCCAGAGATATCGTTGACGGCCACAGAGAGAAAACGCTGAGCCTCCTGTGGAAAATCATCTTTGCCTTTCAGGTGAGAATCTCCTTTTAGATATCTCAAATATCTAAAAGGTATCTCGCCAGTAACCAGGCGAGATAATCGCCATTTATACGAATGTTTTATTGAGACGTCTGCTGGCTGAAGGTGGAGGTGATCCTGGATGAGGCTCAGCTCAGGGAGGAGGTCGACTTCCTGAAGCGAACTCTGAGGACCAAACGCAGACTGGCCCTGGTCCGGGCCGACCGGGCCGGTCAGCCGAGCCCGGCGAAGACCAGGCCGCCGTACCAACACACCAGTGCCAAGATTACACTGCTGATGGACTGGGTCTGCGCCGTGTGCGACTTCTACCACATAAAGGTGAAAATGCTAAGAACTGTTAGCAACCAAGGCTACCATTGGATTTGGCTGATAAGCTGTCAACATGTAATGAGCTAAATCTTAAATTTTCGTCTGATGCATAAAAGAAAGACGGATTCGCCCCGATTGTCTACACTGACAAATGGATAACTCGGTCAAGAAAAGGTTTAAATAGAAAAAACAAATAAATAGCAAAGCAGGTCAGTTATGCTAGCTTGACTATGACAACCTTAACATAAAGATGTGCTGCAGAATTCTGTGGGTTTTGGTTCAGTAACAAAAAATACAAATTTAAAAAGTGGTCCAAAACAAAACTCCCTTACAGATCAAAATGAGCTAATAGCAGCGGTAGCTAATCTGCCACCGCTGTGTTAGCTCAGCTAATAGCAGCGGTTGCTAATGCACCACTAGATGACTTATTAATAATCAAACTGTAAAGGACTGAATGCTCTGTTCTATCTGTGGGGAACGTCTGACTGTTTTTCAGTGTTGAACCCACTAGTGGAGCTGTTGTCAGTCAGTTGCTATGGCAACGGGTCTGTGGGTCGCTGACACGCATTGAGGGAAACAAAGGTTTTGAGTTTTTCTGCAATATTTTCCCTTTGCTCTGGTGCACTGCACTGAATTGACAATACCTGCGGCTCCAGGTTTTGTCATCCCAGCGCCGCTACGGCTAGCTTGTGAATAAACCGTCTTTTTGCCCCCCAATGTTGTGTGCATACACCAAACATTTTGAGAGAAAAGAAATATTAACAGTTGCAAAGATGCAAAGTATCTTTAAACAGTCAAGATTGTACATGTTAAGTGAGGATTTTGTGTGATTTTCATGTTTATTTTTATTTTTCTTGCCTCGTTAAACCAAGCGGCGCACCAACCTGTGTTTCTGTGTGCAGGTGGAGAACTTCACCGTGTCGTTCTCTGACGGCCGCGTCCTCTGCTACCTGCTGCACCACTACCACCCTGCTCTCCTTCAGGAAGCCTCCGTCTGCCAGCGAACCACGCAGACCCTGGAGTGCGCCACCAGGGGGCGCCTGGAGCTAAACTGCTCCGCCAGCGACTCTGACGGCTCCTTCGACTCGCCGCCAGCGGAAATGGATGGTAAAGATCTGATCTGTGCAGAAATGCATCAGAAACAGAAATAATAATTTTGGTCTAAAGCTGTAACCTGGTTTTGTTTTCTGGAAGCAGGACTGGGTTCTTCGTCTCCCAGCTTCAAAGAGCTGCTGGAAAACGAGAAGAACAACTTCAGACTGGTGAACGGCGCGGTGGCGTCGCTGGGCGGCGTGCCGGCCATGATCAACCCGGCTGACATGTCCAACACCATCCCCAACGAGAAGGTGAGGCCAGAACCAGAACCACAAACTGGGTTTGGTTCCTCCAGGCTTCAATGGGCTGGAAATGTGTAGAGAAATGACCAAATTATTTTTCTTTTTTATTTGATTATCCAAAGGAACTCTCAGAACTTCTCAACAGTGGTTTATATTTAAAACTGCTGTATGAAATATTTGTTGAACCTCCTCATCAGGTGATCTGTGAATGTTGTCTCAAGAAATGCACCAAAAACAACCAATCAGGAAGGAGGGAAGAGCAGCACTTTGTTCCCTGTTCCAAATATTTGCTCCAATGAACTGTTTTCGTTACAAAAACACATTTCCTACTTTGATTAACTGGGGATTCATTTGTTCAGGCCGTAGCATCAATTAAGCTGCTCTCTGTTGCCATGGTTTCCCTGCAGGTTGTGATGTCATACGTGTCGTTTCTTTGCGCCCGGCTCCTGGACCTGCGGATCGAAACCAGAGCGGCTCGGCTCATCCAGGCGGCCTGGAGGAAACACAAACTGAGGAAAGACCTTCGGCTCTTCCAGGTTCCTCCCTTCTTCTCAGTTTCTCAGTAAATTATGGGATGTATGTTCCTATAAAAGAGCTGCACCTTGTATTTTTACAACTTTATATGACTCATTAATATAAAGTTTTTGTATTTTCTTTACGACTTTCTGGCATTTTGGCTTTATTACTTGTTCTACACTTTTATTCTCTATTATAATAACTTTATTCTCTTAGTTTTACAACTTTCTTCTATTATTATTATAACTTCATTCTAACATTTTTACATATTTATTTTTTCTTATTAAATGCAACCTGGGTTTTTTTTTTCTTTGCCATTATAATCATCTTTATGCGATGCCTCAGTTTTTCCCAGGATCTCAGTAAAAGTAAAGTTTCCCTTTTTGGGGTTGATCTTCCTTTTCACTTCAAGTATAAACCGACTTCATGTTTGTGAGATGGTGAGATATTTTTTCATCAAATCAATTTTAAAACTCTGGATATTGGTAATTAACTCATCAACTTAAAATCTCCTATTTTCTGTTTTTAAAGCTTTTGGGCATTTTGAGTTTCAGTTTAATAAAATGTGATGAATTTGGACAGAAATGTGACTCCAAAGAAAAGTTTATGCTGCAAATCAAGTCGGTCACTAACTGGTTTCCACTAAGCCAACATAAAACAAAATATCATCCTAAAGGTTATTTATTGCTTTTATTCAGGAGCGAAACAAGGCGGCCCTTAAAATCCAGGCGGCGGTTCGAGGTTTCCTCCTGAGGCGTCGAGCCGAGAGGCAGAATCGCGCCGCCGCCGTGATCCAGTCGGTCTGGAGACGTTATGTAGCTCGGAACCGGCTGAAGATCCAGAAAGAGGCTCAGCTTCGGGCTTTACAGCATAAAGCAGCGACTGTCATCCAGGTAGGCGATGAGTTTTTCTTTACCTGGGCAGTTAAAGCTGTAGTATGTGAATTAAAAAAAAAACGTTTTTTTTCCATATTTGTTAAAACTGCCGCCATGTTGTGACTGATAATCTGTAAAAAGATCAACCTCCTCCCTGAGCTGCTATGAAGAAATGCACCAGAAACAACCAATCAGGACCAGGAGGCGGGGCTTGGTGCTGTCAATCAACCTAATGTACACCAGGGGTATTACAGTTCTAGTTCATTATAATTCAGTTTTATTTCGTTGTGATTCAGAGTTTGCTAATTTTTATTGTTAAATAAATATTTTTTAGTTTTTATCATTTATTGTAGTTTGTTTTTTCGTACATCGACTTGGTGTTGAATACTCAACAGAAGATACCATTTAATGTTTTCTCAATTTCAATTTTTGTTTTGTTTTAGTTAACTGTACAAACCTTGGTGAGCACAAGCATGATTGGCAGGGCTAAGACCCTCCTCTTGGCTCTGATTGGTTGTTTCTGAGTGGGTTTGATTTTCATTTATTTTTTTTACTACTTTTCACAGATCATCTCTTGTCACTACATGATTTTAACAAATACATAAACATACTGCAGTTTTAAGTACTTTAGTTCACAATTATTAATTTCAGCTGCAGTTTCGTGTTTCTTGATTGATTCCAGAACTGTTTCGTCTCTTCAGGCTCACTGGAGGAAGTTTTCGGCCTTGAGGGCTTATCAGCGCCTCCAGTATTACACCATTATAGTTCAGGCTCAGTGGCGAATGAAGAGGGCCGCCAACGCTTATGCAAGGATCTTCTGGGCGGCCACAGTCCTTCAGAGATGCGTCCGAGCTCGGGTCGCCTCCAAAAGAGACCGGCAGCGATATTTCCTGGTACGGAAAGCGGCGCTCAGCCTCCAGAGAGCGTTCAGGAAATGGAAACATCGGAAAAATCTGGAGGAAAACCGTGCGGCCAGAGTTATCCAAACTGCTTTTAGGAAATTTACAATGTTAAAGCTGCAGAACCGCTCCGCCACCGTCATCCAGGCGGCCTTCAGAGGATACGCCGTCAGAAAGAAGTTTGTGAGGAGGAGACGCGCCGCAGTGACGATCCAGCTTAGATTCCAGGCCTCTTTAAAGAGAGACTTTGACAGAGCGAGGTTTGTAAAGATGAAACATGCAGCTGTTTTGATTCAGGCAGCCTACCGCGGAAAGGTGGCGAGAGAGTCGCTGAAGAGGCAGCACAGGTCAGCAGCGGTGATCCAAGCTGCATTTAGGAAACACGCTGCCCAAAAGAAATACGGTCTGTTGAGAAAAGCTGCAGTTGTGATTCAGCAGAGATACAGAGCGACGGTTTTAGCTCAAAAGATGAAGCAGGAATATGAAGCTCTTCGGAGTGCTGCGCTCATTACCCAAGCTACATGGAGAGGCAGAGCAGAGAGGAGCCGGATTAAAAGTTTGCATCACTGTGCAACTCTGATACAAGCTCACTATCGTCGGCATAAAGCCCAAACGGACTACAGATCCCTGAGATCAGCAGCTCTAGTCATACAACTTCGCTGTAAGGCGTTTTTACTGGGGAACAAGATGAGGAACGAATATCTTGAGAAGAAAATGGCATGCATCACACTCCAAGCTGCATTCAGAGGTTTGAGAGTCAGGACAGAGCTGAGGGAGAAGCACCAGGCTGCAACAGTCATTCAGTCTGCGGTTAGGATGTTCTTATGCAAGAAACAATATATTCTCCTTCAAAGTGCAGCGATCGTCATCCAGAGCCGATACCGAGCCGTTCTCCTCTGCAGAGAGCAGCAAAGCCAGTTCAGAAACATGAAGCAGGCCAGCATGAAGATACAAGCTGCCTTCAGGGGGTTCGCAGCCAGAAAAGACTTGAAGAAGAGACACAAAGCAGCAGCAGCAGTCCAAGCTCAGTTCAGGATGCACAGAGTTCGAATGGCTTACCTGGCAACAAAGTGTGCAGCCGTTATCATTCAGGATCGCTACCGAGCCAAAATACTCCGTGATGAGCAGATGAGGAGATACCGAGCAATGAGACGAGCAGCCGTGGTCATCCAAGCGGCGTTCCGCGGATACAGAGCCAGGAAGACGATAGTGGAGTTGCATCAAGCAGCAGGAATCATCCAGAGGAGATTTCTGACAAGCAGAGCCAGGAAGCGGTTCTTGGCAATCAAGGCAGCCGTTTTGGCATGTCAGCAGAGATACAGAGCGGCCACTCTGGCAAGGAGACTCCACCTGGAGTACCGATCGAAGCGCAGGGCAACGGTTTGCATACAGGCTGCCTACAGAGGGTACGCTGTCAGGAAGCAGCTGCAGATGGAGCATAAAGCGGCTGTAATCATTCAGTCTCAGATCAGGAGGTACCAGCAGAGAAGCTGCTACAAAAAGCTCCTCTGGGCTTGTAAAGTGTTGCAGGAGCGCTACAGAGCTGTTAAGCTAATTAGGGCTAAGAAACGCGCCATTGTTGTTTTGCAAGCCGCTTTCCGTGGGATGAAAATGCGGCAAATCCTAAAACGAAGACATGAATCTGCCGGAGTCATCCAGAGAGCTTTCAGGACTTACCAGGAACGTCAACACTACCTTTCCTTAAAAGTTCATGTCGTTAAAGTCCAGCGCAGATATCGGGCTAATGTTGCAGCTAAGGAGCAAAGAAAGCAATACCAGCGCATCCAGAGGGCGGCAATCCTCCTTCAAGCGGCTTCAAAAGGAAAACGAGTCCGAGAAGAGGTTGCTCGCTGGCACCAAGCTGCAGTGATGATCCAGGCTGCATTCAGAAAGCACAGAGCAAGAGTCAGGTTTCAGGCAATGCGGCTGTCTGCCATCATCATCCAGAGGCGCTACCGAGCTCTTCTTGTCCAAAGGAGAGACAGAGAAAGTTACCTGACAATGAGGCGTTCTGCAGTTTGTTTCCAGGCTGCATTCAGAGGACATAAAGTGAGGAAGGAAGTTGCTCGTTTGAATCGGGCTGCAACTCTGATCCAGTCTGCATTCAGGAAGCACAGAGAACAAGTCAAGTTTCAGGCGATGCGGCTGTCGGCCATCATCATCCAGAGGCGCTACAGAGCTCTTCTTCTCCAAAGGAAATTCAGAGAAAGCTTCCTTAAAACAAAACGAGCTGTTGTCACTCTTCAAACTGCTTTCAGAGGATTCCTCATCCGGACTCGGATGGCAAAGATGCACAAGGCAGCTACTATCATCCAATCAAACTTCAGAAGACACCAACAGTATCTGGCCTTGGAGAGGCAACGCAGGGCAGCCTGCGTTCTGCAGCAGAGATTTAGGGCCTATAGGCAGAAACAACTGGATGCAAAACATTTCCAACGGGTCAGAAGAGCCACCATCTTTCTACAGGCTGCGTATCGAGGAATGAAATCTAGACAAATATTGAGGCAAAGGCTAGAGGCTGCAAGGGTGATTCAGAGAGTTTACCGAGTCCACTGTGAACGCAAGCAGTTTGTGACCCTAAAGAAGTCGGTTGTGAATGTTCAGCGCAGATATCGAGCTGCTGTTGCAGCCAAAGAGCAAAGAAAACAATATGAACAACTGAGAAGGGCAACAATAAGCCTTCAAGCTGCATACAGAGGACTTTATGTCAGAAAGGAAGTCACTCGTTGGCATCAGGCTGCCAGTTTGATCCAGAGAGTTTACCGAGCTCACCGTGAACGCCGGGAATATCTGGCCTTCAAGACCTCAGTCATCTTGGTTCAGCGCCGATACCGAGCTGCTATTGGAGCCAAAAGACAAAAACAACAATATGAACAAATGAGAAGAGCGACGATTGGTCTACAAGCAGCATTCAGAGGATTTCAAGTCAGATTCAAAGTAGCTCATTGGCAAAAGTCTGCAACTGTGATCCAGTCTGCATTCAGAAAGCACAGAGAGCGAGTCAAGTTCCAGGCTCTGCGTCTGGCAGCCATCATCATCCAGAGACGCTATCGAGCTCTTCTTCTACAACGGCGAGACAGAGAACGTTTTCTGAATGTTAGACGCTCTGCTGTCATCCTGCAGGCGGCCTTCAGAGGCCATCATGTCCGGAGCGAAGTGGCGAAGATGCACAGAGCCGCTACCGTCATTCAAGCTAACTTTAGGAGACACAGACAACAAACTGACTATAAGAGACGATGCTGGGCAGTGACTGTCATACAGCAGAGGTTTAGAGCGCAGAAATGTAAAGAACTTCAGGAAAAGCGTTACCAAGACGTTAGAGGAGCTGTCATTGTTCTTCAGGCTGCATATCGAGGAATGAAGTCCAGACAGAATTTAAGGCAGATGCATCAGGCTGCAAGTGTAATCCAGAGAGCTTACCGTACCAAGAGAGAACGCAAGGAGTACCTGGCCTTCAAGACCTCTGTTGTCTTGGTTCAGCGCCGATACCGAGCCGTAGTGGCAGCAAGGCAACAAAGACGACAATATGAACAAATGAGAAGAGCGACGATTGGTCTACAAGCAGCATTCAGAGGATTTCAAGTCAGAAACAAAGTTGCTCATTGGCAAAAGTCTGCAACTGTGATCCAGTCTGCATTCAGAAAGCACAGAGAGCGAGTCAAGTTCCAGGCTCTGCGTCTGGCAGCCATCATCATCCAGAGACGCTATCGAGCTCTTCTTCTACAACGGCGAGAAAGAGAACGTTTTCTGAATGTTAGACGCTCTGCTGTCGTCCTGCAGGCGGCCTTCAGAGGCCATCATGTCCGGAGCGAAGTGGCAAAGATGCACAGAGCCGCTACCGTCATTCAAGCTAACTTTAGGAGACACAGACAACAAACTGACTATAAGAGACGATGCTGGGCAGTGACTGTCATACAGCAGAGGTTTAGAGCGCAGAGATGTAAAGAACTTCAGGAAACGTTACCAAGACGTTAGAGGAGCTGTCATTGTTCTTCAGGCTGCATATCGAGGAATGAGGTCCAGACGAAAGATCGGAAAAAGACGAGAGGCTGCAAGCGTCATCCAGAGAGCCTTCAGGGCCCACCGTGAACGGCAGCGGTACCTGAAACTGAAATCATGTGCTCTCACAATTCAGAGGAAATATCGAGCCACTAAAGAAGCCGAAGTGATGAAGAACAGATACTCGCTGATGAGGAAGGCTGTCGTCACTCTTCAGAGATGCTGCCGAGCCTGGAAGGAAAAACGACAGGTAGCCATAAACCAAGTCAGGTCTAGATTTTATTATCTTGGAGGAATCTAACCAAATTCTGTGATTTTTTACATTGAATTCATGCTGGTTGGTTTCAGGTCCTGGAAGCAGCCCAGGCAGAGCAGAGACTCCATTTCACGGCTGCGGTTTTCCATCACCTCAGCGCCATAAAGATCCAACGAGCCCTGAGAGCCCACTGGGCTCTGGAATCAGCAAAAAGACAGATCCAGTCAGTCGTTACCATACAGGTACACCCGGAAACCAGAACCAGAGATGTACTGTTGGGTTTTGGAGTGTAGCTCCCAACTATAAATGGTTCTCTGGGCTTTTCTCAGCGTTGGGTTAGAGCGAGGCTGCAGAGGAGACAATATCTGGAGGACAGGAGGAAGGTGGTGACGGTCCAGAGAGCGGTCAGGCGTTGGTTAGCGCGCCGCCACAAAGCCGCCGCCGTCATCCAGGAAGTGGCCCGAAAATTCCTCCTCGACAGGCGACAGAAGAGGGCTCAACGAGGAATCATCAAAGCTCAGGTGAGGCGGGCGCTGCTAAAGCAAAGGCTACCTGTGCCATTAGCTAACGCTACCACTAGCTAAGTCTGTATATGAGCTAAACTTTGAAGAGCAAATTTATTTGGTCATTTTGGAAACTTTTAGTGTGATACATTTTGAGATTTGTGAAATTTAGTTTATCGATTGATACGAATCCTGCAGGTGGTTGGTTTATATTTATGCTCTTATTTTAAAGTTCAACATTTTGTTTTAGTTTTTTGAAAAATTGTATAGAATAAGCTAAATTACTGTAAAACCAAACTTAAACTGGGTTTTGCATAATTTCCTTATTGAAAGAAGGAACTCTTTCAGTGCATTGACACCTGGTTTCTGAATGGGTTTTTTACTAGCATCATAGCATTAGCTTCCACTAAATACCGTTTTGGTATAGCACTTCAGCATTTGCTTTAAGGTTTAACATAACTAACTTATTTAGGTAGCGGTGCCCACCTCAGTTATTTTGAAATGTTTTTGTAATCAGTGTGTTTGCGATAAAGTGTAACTTTATGTTAAATATTTTGTGAATAATTAAAATCCCCAAATTTGATGATGAATTGGTCTAAGTTTCTGAGCAGATCTGCTCGGTCCGGTTGTTGTATCAGAGGCTCAGACGGCTCCATCCTGTGTCCCTGCAGGCTCTGTGGAGAGGACACCGCTCCCGCATGCTGAGCGACAACCCTAAACTCGTCAAGCTGAGGCGCCGCTTGCGCGAAATCTCTGCTGAAGTCCGAGAGGAAGACAAACTCTGCAACAAAACCTCTGCTGCGCTGGAGTATCTCCTTCGATACAAACACTTCTCCTTCATCCTGGAGGCCCTGAAGAACCTCGGTAAGGACCAGGACTGGGTTGTTTTCGCTGGCTGCTGTCGGTTGGGTGGTGATGGAAACGTTTGTTCTGGTGAGCAGAAGCCGCCACCAGGCTGTCGCCAGAGTGCTGCGAGCGGCTGGTGGGAAGTGGCGCCACCAGCGTCATCTTCACACTGATACGCAGCTGCAACCGGAGCGGACCCTGCATGGAGGTCATCACCTTCTCCGTCCAGATCCTCCTCAACCTCTCCAAGGTACAACAGACGTCTCCGGTTCACTGCATTGATGCTTTTCTGACTGTTAATTTCTTTTCATTTTTATCCAAAAACTGTTTACAAAAGCTGATTGAAATTTACAAACTTAATTTTCAGGTTTTTTTCCCTTAATTTGATTGTTTTTACAAAAACAGGCTCTAGTTGTAATTATCAGAAATAAATAGAAACCTCCTCGAACTGCGCCCTCTGGTGGAAGATGTTGGTAGTACATGTGGCAAATGCAAATTAAAGACCAACAAGGCTAAAATAAAGTATTTTTAAGACTTAGAAAAATCTCTAATAGTCATACATTAAGTAATAATTAAACTATTATAAGCTGTTTTTATTTGTGTATTTATCTGTTTCAGGCCTTAAAAGGACGATAAATTGTCCTAGAAGTTTTTGCGATAAACGATAATATTGTTGTTTTGAGGCTGCATAACCAATATAATCACAATATATCAGCACCAACATCAGTATCGGCTGTTAATTTTTTTTAACATGTCAGTATAAATCCAACGATCATAAACAGACATTTTGTTTATGATCGTTTGTTTTTCAGAAAAGTAGAGAACTATATCACATAATATTAGCAAGAATAGCATTATTTATATCTGATGCGGTGCATCTCTGAATAAAATGGTCTCAGAGATCAATAAACTTTCAATTCTGATGAACATTTAAAACAGGAACTGGAAGACATTTTAAGATATCAAAAACGAATAAACAAAACAGAAACAACAAATAATATGAATTAGGAAGTCTGTGTAAATAAAAACGCCCTTCAGACTGAAGACTTTTGTCATCCTGTTTTTGGTAGAAAGAGGAAAAAAAATATTAATTAATTAGCTTTTTTTAATTTGTCATGTGATCAATTGATTTATTTCATAATTTGTATTTGCCCTCAGTACCACCTGACCATAGAGGCGGTGTATTCGGTGGAAAACTCCCTGGAAACGCTGCTGGATTTACTGCAGAAATACCGGGAGAAAGCCGGGGACAAAGTGGCCGAAAAGGGCGGCAGCATCTTCACCAAAGCCTGCTTCCTTCTCGCTCTGCTGCTGCAGGACGAGCGCCGCGCTCAGGTCTGAAGCAGACTCAGAAATCTCTCCCACTGATGCTTACAGAAACATTTAAATTTGATCTATTTCCCCTCAGGAGGTGGCGAAGCTGCCTAAAGTTTCGGACCGGATACGCAGCATCTATCGGCTCACCGCGCGGAAACACAAAATGGACGAAGAGCGCAGCATCACCAGGCAGAGAATCAACGCCTCCATCAACGGGAGCTTCTTTGTTCCGCCAACGCCGCGCAAATCCAAACCGCCACCAAAGTAGGCAGCATCTGATCTGTGAAAACCCAAACAGGACTTTTGGTTCTGAGGGAACTAAAATGCTGTTTTCTGTGGATTAGTGTCAGAAAGATTAACAAAGCATACAGTAAAATCTGCATGTGTGTAAAAGAAGATTTGTAAATGTACAACATGATTCACTGTTCTGTGCAAACACGATGCAAATCTTGCTGTGAATCTTGGGACTAATGTAGCTCCATATTTTTGTGTTCAGGTTTGCACCGGATTGGGTTCTGAGGAAGGACAAACTGAAAGACGTCGTCGATCCCCTCCGGGCGATCCAGATGGTGGCGGAAACGCTCGCCATCGTTTTATAAACAGAAAACCTTCAGGAGTCTTTTTGTTTTCACAGAAAACCTCATTTTCAATTATTTTTGTTTTGTTTTTTAATCAAATTATTTGTTTGTAAATACTAAATTTGATCTTTTTTGATAATAAAATTGATCTTGTTTAATGGTTTTCCTTTTTTTATCTTTTCTTTCTGTTTCAGAAATCTAAAAAAATTCCCAAAAACTGATCTTTTCAAATCTTCTTGCTCTTGCTGTCTGTATCTTGTTTGTACAGGTTCTTTGTTTATAAAATTGCGTTTAAATAAAATGTATTAACACTGAGTCATCGACATACGGTTGTATATGTACAGCTAAGATCATCTTCACATTTTAGGTGGGAAATGGGAAGAGTTTTAGTTATTTGCATATTTTTAGGCCGATGAGTTTTTACAGAAGAAAACTAAAAACTTAGTTTTGGGTTTGTTTCTAAATGTTGTCTTGATTAAACATCCTGTCGGTTTTGAGCCTCTGCTGAAAAGTAAATACGAATCTGAAAAGTAGTTCTGAACTTTTTTTCTAATAATTTTTTAGTTTGCAGATTTAGAGATTTTTCCCCAAAACTTTCAGTTTCAGATGATTTTAGTTTGAAGAATTTTTTCACTGTAGAAACTTTTTTCTGTTTTAAATAATTTTTTAGTTTGTTGGCACAGAGATAAATGTCACATCTGTGTTAATTGTGTGTTAAATTAGACATTTCACGTGATGCGACGCGCAATAAACCAACAGGAAAACAAACAAATGAGAAAACACGTCAACAGCTTCGAGATGTTTTTAGTTTAAAACCTTTTTTTGCCTCAAACGTACATTTTTTTTTTTCATTTCAAGTACTTGTTTTAAGTTTCTCAGATTTTTTTGGGTTAAATAGCTCTCATAAGTGAAATAATCTGCCAGTGGAACAAGTACTGTATTAATATTAAGGAAATATTGACTTACAACAAGCTCATATCTTGATGAAAGGTTACTTTTGATCTTACTAGAAATATAGAAATATTTCTGCACTAGAAAATAGATCAAATTGGATGATGAATTGCACTGTAAATGTTCAGTTTGTTTAGCAGTTTCCATACCTTTTTCAGTGATTTATAAATGTCCAGAGATGAAGCGCAAACGACACTGAACAGGAATATTTAATAACATCAGGCATCAGCAGCATGTTTTGGTCAGTGCTTCAGAAAATCTGCATGTTTCAAATGTGAGTAACGATACAAGACAGGAGAAAATCCTTCCAACACGACCCTAGCCTTTACCCTAACACTAATCCCTAACCCTCACCCTAGGTAAAAGAAGATTTCTAATGCACCTTTAAATGTAACAAAAAGAAAATCAAAACATTTTACAGCCAAACGGTGAATCGGCTTTGATTTAAAAACAAAAAATAACATATATTTCTTATTTGATCTTATTCTTAGTTTCTTTAAACTTATCCTTCTCCTCTAGTCTCTAATAATACTTATGCTAACAGCAGAGCTAATCTTTAGCTTAACGCTTCTGCGTTTTTTGCTAACTCTAACCAAACTTTCCTTAAATTATTTTTTTCTGAAAAGATTCCAAAGTGCAAATTTACTTGGCTTTTTTGTAAACTTTCGGCTGAATGAAGTTTGAAATGCGTTTTGAAGTTTATCAACTGTTTATTATTCAAGTAGTTGGACGATTTTATGCTCTTATTTTGAAGTCTGTTGACGCAGCAATTCCATTTCCTGTCGTCACATTTTATCTCTTTTTTGCACTAACTTTATTTAAATAAAGAAACATAAGACAGCCAAGTAAATGGAGAGTAGAGAACTAAATATAAAAATATACAAAATCTGATGGTATTTTATGTAAATTATGTTGTCAAAATTCAATTGGTGTAGTTTTTTAGCTTTGCTCCCCACTCTTTCTCCTGTTCAAGAAATATTATTTTTCAGACTTAATCTGAATCAATGACATGTTTTTCAAACTCCATATGCATCTTGATTAAAAGAAATGTTTGTCTTTTGACTCTAAAAAGAAAATACAACTTATGTGAAATATGTCGACGTGATAAAAATAATAAAAAAAGACCTTCTTAATGCCCATAATCTGTTTTACAACAAAACTGGCTGTAGCATTAAGTCAACCAGACCAGAGACAGGTACAGAATAAAGACTCAGTTATCTGCACCTGTTCATCATTATAATTGATTGTTTACGCCCTACACTGCAAAACCCAAAATCTTACCAAGCATTTTCAGTTTCTACACTTGAAATAAGACGAAACTAAATTTTATGAAAGATACAGGAAGTTGTTTTAAGTTAATAATTCATTAATTTTGATGAAAAAAGGACCAATTGTCAGATAATTTTGGGGAAAATGTAAGTAAAATAATCTGCCAACTTTAATCAATACTGGGGGATTATTAAACTACAACAAGCTCTAAGTTCTTGCTGAAAAGTTAGTTTTTTCAAGCGTAGTTGAATATTTAGACTAGAAACTGGATCAAAATGACTTGGAAATGTTTGTTTTTGCAGTAAACAAGCCTGGAAATTATATTCATCCTGTTTGTTTCTTTAGACTGTTGCTGTCCCTTTATGCTGATGACAATATTAAACATCTTTTGCACATAATTAAAAGAAAAAAACAAACATTTTTTCAATGTTAGAAGTGCAATCATCTGCGTGTGTAATCAGAAACAAGCTACCATTTCTTGCTGAAAAGTTTGTTTTTTTTTTTCAAGATATTTACAGTAGAAACTGGATTAAAGAAAACTTGGTCCTATTTTAACAGGAACAAATGACTCAACACAAACAAACAGACAGGTACAGAGTAAAGGCTCAGTTTTGTGCTCATGTTTCAGCTAATAAATAATATCTGCCAGGCCTGTTGCCATTGAGATTTGTGCAGTTTCTCTCTGCCTCCCTGCAGGTTCATCATCAGTGAACTTCAAGTCTGGCACAGGAAGTCGGAGCTGAAGGCCGGGAACCGCACGGAGGCGGGCAGCTGCGTGATGATGTTGGCGTTGCACATCAGCTGAGCGAACACGTGGTTCTCCCTGGAGAACTCGGGGCACAGCGGGGGGTCGCTGTGAGGCGACGGCAGGGAGGCGCTGGCGGGGCTGTCGCACCGCCCGGTCCGGCGGAGCAGACGGCGGAACAGGGAACGCCGCAGCAGGATGTAGATCCAGGGATCCAGGATGGGATTCAGGGAGGCGATCCGGATCGCCCGCAGGTCCGCCTTCTGGTCGCTCTGGAAACGGTTGGCGAAAATACGGACCTGAAACGCAGGAGCAGGTCGGTGGGTTAGGGTTAGGGTAGGTCGGTGTCACTCTGATGATGAGGAGTTTCAGCACGCCCAGTTTGAAAACACTTTATTAATCAGAAAGATCTCCTGTAGCAGTCTGTATTGCAGCGAATCTGGAGGAGCCTCTGACTGAAGATGCTCTGTTTTCCCAAAATAATCTCATGAAGAGGATCAGGGTTTCCATAAATTTCTTGTTTTTATAAAGAAATCATCATCTCAAAATGTTCCAGAGTTGTAAAGAAATACAAATAAACGTTTGTTATGAAAAAAAATCAGAAATTTTGAAATTAATCTAAAATTTTCTAGAAAAAGACTTTCTGAGTTTCAAAAGTCAAAACTTCTCACCGTTTGAAAATTGTAGAATTTTCTGTTAGGAAATTGTTTTTTATGTTAATCTAAAAAATTTTGTAGAAAAAACCCTGAAATTTCTGTTTGAAAAGGGAAAATATTGGCAGGAAAAAAATCTGATGTTTTGAAATTAATCTTAGACATTTTCTAGAAAAAAGCTTAAATTTTTTTTGTTTAAAAAGTCAAAACGTTTTTGCATTTTGAAACTCAGAAACTTGAACCTGATCGCCTTCACGTTCAAGTCTTTTCACAAACTTCTGACATGTGGAACCAGTAGAGCGTCTGTTTGCTGCTCCACTCACCACCAGCGGGGCCGAACAGGCCAGAACCACCGCGGACGTCATCAGCAGCACCGCCATCATCTGCGTCTCCGCGGCCGAGGACAGCGCCCTCCACCTCTGCTTGACGCTGGCTCTGGTTGCGGGCCGGTGCGCGGTTCTGCGGCGCATCAGCAGCAGCGTCCCGCACACCGCCAGGTTCAGCACGATGGTTCCGAGGATCAACATCAGGCTCACGGCCCCGTACAGCACGGAGTAGGTGGCGGCCAGCGGCTCCGAGGTCTTCCAGTCGATGAAGCACCAGGTGCCGGGCGGCTGCAGCTCGCTCCTGGACGCCCCCATCATGGGGAGGCAGCAGAAGAGAATATGGCTGATGTAGATGAAGAACAGGAACTTCTGCGCCGAGCGGCGGTTCACCCCCCAGCGCTGGTACCGGTAGGGCCAGCAGATGGCCAGGTACCGCTCCGCCGCCATGGCGCCGATGATGCTGAGTCCGGTCAGGCCGAAGAACAGCAGCAGGAAGGAGTCAAACTCGCAGACTTTGGGGTCCAGCAGCACCTGGTGGTCCAGGTAGTTGGCGATGGTGAGCGGGCTGGCCATGCAGGTGCCCAGCAGGTCCGTCACCGCCAGGCCGCGCACCAGCGAGAAGAACGCGGACGACTTCTTCTCCTGCCGGGACACGGAGAGCACCAGGATGGCGATCAGGTTCCCGATGGCTCCGCCGGCGAACATGAAGATCGGCAGCGCGATTTCAGTCGAGTTTCCTGACCGCTGCTGGCGCAGCGACGCGTTGACGGGCGCGGATCCGTGCGTAAAGTTGGGAGTCTCCATAACCAAAACGGGCCAGAAGCTGCCGGGGGTCTGGGAGCGCATTTCCTCTTTTCCTCCCGTTGGATGAAGATGTGCGCAGTCCGAGCCGCTCTGCTGCCCAGTAATCCGCAAAGGGAGCGCTAATATCGGGGCTGACAGAGCGGGATGTCCCGGATGTTTGGAGCTGAGCCAACCAGCAGCTGGACGCGCATGATGGATGGGAAAAGTCTCTGTCTTTCCGCTCCAACTTTCATCAGGACGTGTGGTATTTAGAGGGAGGTTTTTCTGACAGACGCAACATTTCTCTCCTCACGCAGAAGGAAATTCAGAGGAACTTTAACCTGCAACCCTTTTTACACAGAGATGATGTTTCCCCCCCAGGCCAGGAGGATGAAACCCATTCAGGTTGTTTCACAGCCTGAATGTTGAGACATCAGACTATCAGGTCCAGTTCTGTCAGACTGATGATCTGTACAGGTGTGCCAGGAAAACATCACAAAATCTGAGTTTTTTCCAGCAAATTTCGACTTTAGAAACTCTGAAATTCCCCCCAAAATTTGAGATCATTTCTAAGATTTGCTTTCATTAATTCTGTAGTTTCTAAAGTTTAATTTTTATGTTGTTTTCTGGAAAATTTGAACCTGTTTAATCCCAATTTTTTTTCTGCAAAATAAGTGCATGCATTTCAATACTTAGAGTTTGATATCACATAATATTTACGAATCATTACATTTTATGTTGGTCATGTTAGTGAAAATGTAGGTTTTATAAACTGCATAGACTAAATTACACAAATGTGGAATATTTATATTTATAAAAATAAGAAAAATCATGACATGCATAATTTATTATAACATTAATGGTTACAAGAGTGTTCAGAAATATTTCAGAAACATAAAAATTCAATGCCACATCCTGCAGATGTCATTGTCTCAATGTACCAAGCGACCTTTGACCTCATTCAGTCAATTCATCAATGAGGCAAAATCAGGTGGAAATGTTGGTTTGAACAGATGTGAAATCCTCCCAGTTCCACCAGATCAGCACTGAACCACCAGTTCCAGGTGTGGCGTCAGCGTCACGCAGGAATCTGACCGTCGACATTCACTGTAAATTTGTTTATTAAAGTATTTTACTGATTTCCTCTTGTACAAGTTTGTTTTACATTTACCTCCAGCGTCAGGCAGGAAGTACAGAGGTCAGGTGACCTTTCACACTGGACACATGAAATTGATATTGCACATTATAGACACATCATTATTTTATTTTAAAACTTCAATTAGCTACTAAAAGTCAAAAAAATTCTTTTAGAGCTTCCAGAAGTTACAAAAAATGTCTGGCAACAATTGTTGCTGGTGGGATTAAATGGGTCTCTAAATTTCATAGTTTTCTGAACATTTTTGACTCAATATTTCTCAATATTTCTGAGCTTTTTTGGCAGGAATTTTGTCCCCTTGTTGTGTTCTGTATGCTGTTGCATCTATAAGTGATCAGGATTTAAAGTGAATGCAAACCAACCCCGTCTGAATCTCCTCTCGGTTCCAGTGTCGATGTTTTCTGCCCCTTTTCTCTCCGGCTCGTTTTGAAGAATCATCCTGGAACTTTAATCGATGTAAACATTCCTGTTCAAGCTTCTTCTTGTGTTTGGTGTTTCCAAAACTCAGAGCAAAGCGCCCAGATTTGAAAAGTTCCTGACTGTAAACGGTCGTCAGGAACATTGGGGATCTGCGGCCGGGACATTCGGGACGTCAGCAGGTTCTGGTACCGACAGACATTCATTACAGCTGGACTTGTGTTTACACTGAGCAGCAGCCGAGAAGGGATCTCTGTCTGCAGCCGACCTTAAAAGACAAAGCAAAACACCGGAGTGATGCCGGGGCTGGGAAACTCCAAACTGACTGGAATATTGTTCTGTTCGCTATGAATCATGGGAGTTTATAGCTCTGTAATGGCTGAAGCGCATTATCTGTGCCTGCTGTGTGACTAACCAGCCGAGAATAACATCTTGCCCTGTCCCTAAAAGTAAATTAGTGAAAAATGTTCCTGGCTGTAAACATGTCTGACGGAACCAAAACAGCAAATACAGATGTTTCGTTTGGGTCTCGTTGTTTATAGCAGCAATATACAGGAATAAGTGGCCACCTGGGTTTAGCTAAGCAAGTAGGCATGGGGGCCGTTTATAGCGTTACACCGAAAGAAACTTACAGCAACCTTTAGGTTCACTGAGCCTGGCACAGAGAAATAAAACACGGCATGTTTGCACCTACACTAAAAAGAGCTTCATACTAAATATTTAATTCATAGCTAAATATTTAGCTTACAAACTAAATATTACAAGCAAAATATTTAGTTTAAAAATAAAAGATTTGATATTTGTCAATAAAATTAAATATTTTGTAAATATCTAAATATTTAGTTTGCAAATTATATATTTAGTTCCCAACTAAAAGTTTAAGTTTGACCTTAATGTTCAGTTAGCAAAATAAAACTTTCATTTGGAACCAGATATTTAGTTTGAAAAAAAAAAAACTAAATAGTTTCAGAGCTAAATATCTTTCCTCAGATGTAAACATTTTGTTTTTCTTAGTTTTCAAACTAAATATTTGGCTCCAAATTAAGTATTTCATTTGCTAACTAAATATTTAAGTTTATATTTAGTTTTCAAACTAAATATTTTGGTCCACAATAAATACTTATTTTGCTAACTCAGTATTTAGTTCCAAACTTAATATTTAATTTGAAGCTAAATATTTAGTTTAAATATTTACTTCAGAACTAAATGGGAAACTTTGAGCTAAATATTTAGTTCTATACAAAATATTTTTTTCCAAAAATAAATATATAATTTGTGTCTAATTACTCAATTCGGATCTAAATATTTACCTTACTAACTAAATATTAAACTTGAAAATTACATGTGTAGTAATGTAATTTTACTTTACATATAAAGTAAGTTTGCAGCTTGTGATTTAAATGTCTGGAATGATAATATTTATAAATGTATGAGCAGCATGATGAAAAGTCTTTTTCTCAATCTGTAACTTTATAAATAAGTTTAATCCCCCGATGTGATAATTGCTGCTTGAACTAATGCAGCAGCCTCTGATTCTTTAAGGTTTCTTAGTTTTTATATGATTATTTTGCAGGCAGAATGAAGGAAAAGGGTTATCAGTGTTTGATTTGTCTGGGGGGATTTCAGAGTTAGGAGGAACAACTGAACTAATGAACTCCTCTGTTTCCTGGAAGTGAGTCAAGAAAATCTCTCTTGGGTCTTGAAATGAGAAGGCAGGAATCCAGAGTGACACGGAGGTTATGCAAAACGGGACCAGAAGGCAGGAAGACATTTATTTGAACAATTTAGTTTAAGCAGCGTACTTTCATGCAAATGTGCTCAATCTAACTGAGATTAAGTGTCTGTAATTGCATGTAAACGCAATTAAAACTAAATCTGGATCAAACTGAATGTCTAAATGGACCTGAAATGAATCTATTTGTCTTGAGATTTCTAGAGAATGGGCGCTTTATCAACAGAAGTGGATTAAATAAAGATGACAATCAATACCAAAGAAATATGAAATCTTAAAGTGTGATGGGGTGAAATCCCCACATGATGCTGGAAGAGGAGCAGAAACTAAAATCAATTCCAGTCCTGGGAATTCTGTTGTGATGTATCGGATCCATTCAGTCACTGAATGATTATAAATCATACTAACTTTTAGATTTTTAAGGAAAAGTCGAGCAGCTAAGACAACCTAGTAAATAATAATATAATGAGTAAATACATAATAAACCAGAGTGATTCAAAGTAGGAAAACACATTTCTCACATGACGTCAGTCTCCCGTGAACTTTGTCAGGGAATGAATACCCACTAGCAGGCAGTTACTATGGAGTTACTATAACCACAAGCCACAAGCTAGCTTCCCCATCGTTCACGCGTCAAAACAATAAAACTACATCACAGCTATTACTAGATCATCCTTTTGGAGAACTCTGCCCACCTTTGTTTAGTGACTCAGTGATATTTACTGTAGTAAGTACTGCACTACTGTCGCACTAACAAAACTAGCACAGCTAATGAAGCTTTTATGCCCTAGCTAAAATGGACATGTAGCCTATGTGTGTGTTGCTACATGTAGCCTACGTGTGTTGCTACATGTAGCCTACGTGTGTTGCTACATGTAGCCTACGTGTGTGTTGCTACATGTAGCCTATGTGTGTGTTGCTACATGTAGCCTACGTGTGTTGCTACATGTAGCCTATGTGTGTTGCTACATGTAGCCTATGTGTGTTGCTACATGTAGCCTACGTGTGTTGCTACATGTAGCCTACGTGTGTTGCTACATGTAGCCTATGTGTGTGTTGCTACATGTAGCCTATGTGTGTTGCTACATGTAGCCTATGTGTGTTGCTACATGTAGCCTACATGTGTTGCTACATGTAGCCTACATGTGTTGCTACATGTAGCCTACGTGTGTTGCTACATGTAGCCTACGTATGTTGCTACATGTAGCCTACGTGTGTGTTGCTACATGTAGCCTACGTGTGTGTTGCTACATGTAGCCACGTGTGTGTTGCTACATGTAGCCTACGTGTGTTGCTACATGTAGCCTACGTGTGTTGCTACATGTAGCCACGTGTGTGTTGCTACATGTAGCCTATGTGTGTGTTGCTACATGTAGCCTACGTGTGTTGCTACATGTAGCCTATGTGTGTTGCTACATGTAGCCTATGTGTGTTGCTAGATGTAGCCTACGTGTGTGTTGCTACATGTAGCCTATGTGTTGCTACATGTAGCCTACGTGTGTTGCTACATGTAGCCTACGTATGTTGCTACATGTAGCCTATGTGTGTGTTGCTACATGTAGCCTACGTGTGTTGCTACATGTAGCCTACGTATGTTGCTACATGTAGCCTACATGTGTTGCTACATGTAGCCTACATGTGTGTTGCTACATGTAGCCTACGTGTGTTGCTACATGTAGCCTACGTGTGTTGCTACATGTAGCCTACGTGTGTGTTGCTACATGTAGCCTACGTGTGTTGCTACATGTAGCCTATGTG